ATTTAATCTCTTTACTTCATAGTGTGGGTAAAGTCCCTATGATTTTTTTTTTCTACATCTTCTGCTGAATTTCTCCTTTAATGGGTGAAGGAATCCTCATGAAATCTTTTCTACTTCTACCCTGAATGAATACGAATTCCCTTTCAATTTCCTGGGGTGTGTGTGTGTGTGTGTGTGTGTGTGTGTGTGTGTGTGTATGTATCTGTGTCTCTGTGTGTGTTAGAGAGAGAGAGAGAAAACTACTGCCTCTTCAGGTCCCTGGTCCAAGAGCCAAAATTTGTTGGCTCAGTGAAAAGACAGAGACAGGGAAACTCAGGAATGAAGGTCAGGCCAGAAAGTGTGATGGCAGGGGGCTAACAGCTGGGAGAACTCTAGCCCCTATGCTATGCCTTTCTGGGTTTTTATTTGAGAATTATCAGGAAGGTTGTTGTTGTTAAGTGCCATAGAGTTGTAGGTGACTCATAGTGACCTGGACACTTGTATAACTTTTACCTCTTCTCCAGGTTCATAGGGTTTCCAGAGGCAAGCTATTTTGGAAGTGGATGCCACTCCTGTTTTCAAGCTTGTTTTAATTGGGGAGATCCACCAAACACTATCCACCATGGATTGCCATTATTGCATTTGAAACAACAGTATCACAGTGTTCAGCTTCACAGCAACCACAAGTTACCTCTGTACAGCAAGTAGACAGACAAGAGCTATACCACTTAGAAGAATGTTTGACCAAAACCAATTAAAACCAGGCCTAAGGGCAGCGGATTAAAGTCACTCACCTTTGGCTTGGTCGCATCACTTTCTGTCCACTAGGCCAAATGATCTCTCTCTATGCTGTTGTTAAGTGCCTTCAAGTCATAGGTGACTCATAGTGAACCTATGAATGAAAGACCTGGATACTTATATAAGTTTCATCCGTTCTCCAGGTTCATAGTGTTTCAGGAGGCAAGCTATTTCAGAAGTAGTCAAACTAATTAATAGGCAGTGATGGTCTCACAGCTGTTTGGGAACCTGACCTTGAGGAGACCAGCTCACGCCACCCACTTTCATTGCCTGGTTCCACATCTTAATGCTCAGGGATCAGCTAAGGAGTTGATCAGGGGGTGTTAGAGCCTTCACTTGCTGGAACTCCAAGCACTGAAAGGGCAAAGTCAGTGTTCCAGTTTACTGTGCAACCCTGGCCATGTCACAGGGTCCGGCTCCTGGTAGGTTAGGGTGGAGCCGGAACAAAGATCCCCTTCAGCACCAACACTCAGGAAGCAATACTAGCTGGGCTCAGCAGCCAGGATAAGGGAGCTCTGGTGGCCTAATGGCAAGAAGCTGCAATCCCAGCGGAGAGCAGTTCGAATCTACCAGATGCTTTGCTGGAGAAGGAGGGGCAATCTCCTGTACCAGTCAGATCTGATTTGATGGTACACACACAAAATAAAAAAATAAAAAAAATATTTTTTTAATTTAA